TTTTTTTTTTTTTTTTTTTTTTTTTTTTTTTTTTTTTTTTTTTTTTTTTTTTTTTTTTTTTTTTTTTTTTTGGCAATATCGTCAATCTAGTTGACATCCTGACATCCCCATTCTTTAGTGAGGTTTAATCGAAATACGTCTGTTGTTCGGGATGGAATGCTGCTGGCGGGACGAATTCTCATTGGTCATGTCCGCCCGGAGAATCTTTAATGCCCAGCATGGCGATGCTCGACACAGACCGTTTGAGACTGGAGGGAACGGAGAAGATTATCGATCTGCTGACCTGGTTTTGACGATGAATTCCTTGGAGGGCATATTGTATTCAATTTTTGCATGCCTGTTGATTTTGTTCGGGTCTCATGAAATGACCAAAAGCCGGTTGTGCCTGATACTCTGGAGTAGTTGGTATTGATTATTGTAGGTATATGTATATATATGTTAACGGTCTATTGACGTTTCCTAGAATATCTGAAACACCTTGCGGCTGTATATCTGATAGATGATTCAGATAATCTCTCGTAGCATGATACAGTTCATACCATGCAGGTGAGTCTATAATACGTCTTCCTAAGGGTAAGTTTGGAGACCACTTGAGAAGCATCGTAGTTACCGTAGAAGTACCAAACAGATCTCTGTGGCGCGAATTAGGGCTCGCTTCAGCATGATGGCTCCAGAGCGTTGCATCGTGATGATATGGAGACGACAGCTACGGGTGGTTCGTCTCTAGATATTGACCTGTGAAGTACTTAGTCGCATCGAAATGTTGGCCAGCACTCACTAGTCAAAAGCCCATCACATTACGTGAATGAATACGAAGCCAGTCGTAGCGTAAACTAGATAGGTAAGACGATTCCGCGTATCGTCCATGCAAATCAGACAAACAGGTAATGTAGGCACTGGATACATTTGGCAACCTGCCAATATCCTCATACTTTGCTTCGTCTGATAAGGGACAAGTCTGGGTCGCGGGCTTTATTGTCTACATTTAGTGCTCTTTGATCATGTGTTTCCGGGTTCCATCAACCATCCACTAGCACATCTGCTGCCCTACTGCCCGCGCCATGCGATAGCTTCACCTTTTCGTACTACTGAGATATATTACGGCGCATCTTCTGAATGAGACATGTGAACTTGTCTACTCCATAATACGGCTATCAGCGTCATTCTTGGAACAAGGTAGGTTGCCGCTCGAAACTGCCCCGACATATCATGTTGCATTCATACTTAGATGGAATCAAGCGTCAACTACCGTGTTTCGATGCCGTTCCTCCAGAGATGGAGTCAGGGTGAACCTTCCCGATATCCTTCCAGATCCTCACGATGGTCTTGCGTGCGCGCCAATGCCCGTGGGAGCAACATAAGCCTTTAACTTCTTGGGAAGACGGCCCGCTCATTCTTCCAAGAGGAACAAAGTGACATCTAGGGTCATTCATAAGCTTCCATTTTCCCCCCACGATAAGAGGAGTGCCCTCGTTCATGTCGAATTTCAACCATTGAGGGTTCTGATATGGGATACTGATATCGTGACGTGAAATTTCCTTGAGGCTATTGCCCGGGGATGGCGAGACCGGCCCTAATATATGCCAGACCTCCTGGGCTCAGACCAAACTTGGCGCTGCTAAGATCACGTGTAACTCAGCTTTGCACCGTCCAGTCAGATTGTGTGAACAAAAGGCGAATTCTCCAGCACGCAGCTTCCAGAATGCTGAGTTCCAAGGATCATGCTTCAAGGCTCGCGAGAACGCTGTGCCACTATCTAGGTTTTCCTGAGCCCCCAGGGTCCCGTCTAAGGCTCTAGAGAACCATCTTTCATTTCCAGAGAAAAATGTCTGAGGTCCAAGGAGGCCAAAAGAGCCCGCAATCAGTCTGCTTGTCCACAAGAGCCACTGAGGCCTAACCAGTGATTACTATGGTTAATACTTTCTTGTCTGCCCGCTGCTTGCCCTGCTCATTGTCTGCATAATTCGTTCATAAGACTTGTTAAATTACATGCCAACGTAAGTTGCTAGATAACCACATTCCCTTACTCTCGCAATTACCGTTGTTGGGAGCACATTGAGCAAAACCATCTGGCCAGTTAAGTTCGGTGCCACCAAGATTTGGAACATGTACGTTATGAAACCTATTCGCAACAGGGCGTGGGTTATCAAGACTATGAAAAGAGATTCATCTACAAACCACTGTATGACCATCTATATTAAATATGGGGAGGAGGCGTATGCATGAACTAGTAGCTATCAAATGCTCGAATATCAGAGTATGAAGGGTGGCATACTGACTCTCAGATGTTTAACCCCATCCAGGGAGTAGGTACCATACCTTCGTCGAGCAAATTGGACTTCTCGCTTCTTTGAATGAATGATAAGGCAACACTACCATATCATGCTAGTTGGTCTTTGATCTCTTCTGCTTGGGTTGCATGCCTGTACACCATGTCTATGACCTCAATAGTGAGGGCAGGCCGCCGATAGAAATTAGGGAAACTGGTAGGGAGAAGTGGGTAATCGCTGCCCCAACCAACACAGTATATAGTAGACCCTGGGCGGAACAGGACTTCGGTATAGAAAGCTGAACGCGGGCATGATTGATAACCGGTGTCTAACAGGTCCTAACCGGTCAGATACAACTAGATATGCTGGTTATCATTGAAACAGGGCAAAATGTGGATGGGCAGTCACATTGTCAGACGCCCAGGATTCACTTGAGAGCGGCGCATCTTACCATTTTGCATCACATAGTCCGGAGATAGCCAGTGTTCTCACCGTCTTGTCAAACTGTAACAGACGGGTTCATACAAGGTGTATATATCTCTTGGGAGACGCGAAGTGTCTGGTTCCTGTGGCGCAGCGTAATGGAACGGTACGGTGCTCTCCACTTACGACTTATTACACAAGTCAACACCCACGCCTTGACATTGCGTGCCGTTTTCCGCACACCATGACTGTCAACGCAATAAACGAACCTATCAAATGCGCGCTATTCGGATTACTTAAGGTTACTGGTAAAGTCACGTGATAAAATGCCGGCCATCTGGCTTTGGTGTCCCTGCCGCGTCCAGGTATTGGCAAGCTTGTGATCCGTCGCCTGATGATCGGATAAAAGCTGTCCCAAGTACAGTATCATTCCTAGAATAATCAAATGGTCTAGTCCTTGAGATCATCCATATGCTATCTGGGTCAGAATAGTGCCTACACCCGCAAGATGATGCCCTCGTTCGAGCATTGCTCAGCTGGCGGATGCATGCCGCCTCCGCAACAGGGGGCGACGGGTCGATGATGCTCAGGATCGGCTTTTCCAAGTGCTACGAGCGCCTCAAACACGACCCCGTCGAAGTCGTCTCACGGATTGATCACAGTACTCGCCATCTGGACGTGAATATAATCACAGTGATCTTTTACGTCATCGGTTTGAGCCAGGACGGCCAAGTCGAGCAATTGGCAGCATTTTCGACCACCACCGGCGATATTTCTCCTCAGTCATAAAAACAAGCCTTAGAGAGAACACGAGCTCAGTTTTGAGGAACCTCCCTTCCGACATCTACAATTTCGTGTCAGAGAAGCCCAGTGACGCGTTGAAGAGGTTCGTCAACTGGATAATCTTGACGCACGCTAGGAACACGGGAAACACAGATCCAGAAAACATCGTGCTTACAGCACATTTTGGCTCTTGCCATGACCATATATACCTGCTGAGGACAATGATAGCCTCTGGTAATCAGACTGCTTGGCTTTAGGGTCGCAGACTCCCTTGCGCTCCTCAAGACAATCAAAGGACCAACCGAGCCCTCGGAAATTGCGTTACTCGCTGCTAAATACGCTGGAGAGTTGCACTACACGTCCGATGGTGCGGACAGTGACGCACGGGCTCTCAGGGCCGTAGTCATGGCTGCGTTTCCGAACGTAGGTGCGGCCTGCTACGCGTTCAGTGTCAGCTGCAGAAGATTTATGAAGAGGACAGGCTTGAACAAGCTCGAACTCGGTAATTTGACCTACACCCACCACAGTTCAATGACTGAAAGGGCCATAATACGTGGAGAGAGCGGCAAGATAATTAGTTACAAAGCACACTCACTACAGAATTAAAGATTTTGTATCTAATGGTGATGTTCAAACGCACGTGCTTTATCCTTAAATGCTGCCAGCATGAGTATCTGCACTGTTGTCTGTGTTGGAATTTCACTATCTCAGCACATGTCAATTCAAAAACCAGGAAGTAGCCACAGATAAAAAATCTAGCTACAGACCATTCCAACAAGCCGATGATTTATTCAACCGTTCCATCTGGTGGTGTGCATGATGTGGCCCCATGGCCCGTTTAAGTATGTCGCCAATGAAAGGGCGAGCTGTTCCCAATTTGGTCCCCTGTTGGATAAGAATTGAGCATGTGGATTGTAGGAAAGAAGTTCCAGGTCCGAGCACCCATGAATCAGTACTGAAATCAGCCACAATTAAGGCAGCTTGCCGCTATCCGTAAACGAACGTGGACGGATTCGGTCCCAGACTGACAAATCTCCCCACAGCACTAAGCAAGCCTGAGCCCTGGCGAACAATCCGTACCTCAGGCTCTCCGTTTGCTCCTTTAAAGCAAGTACGTTCGCGTCGCGCCCGGTTACCCGACTCTGAGAAATGCTTAGTACGTTTACGACAAGGATATGAGATCTGAGGATACGAAACAAGATGGTGTCACATTGGTCGCATCATCATAGACTCAGCGGTGCTGTGAAATCTGGGTTAGGCAATGTCATACGTGGGCCTTCATGCCCCTGAGGATGAACTGCCACTTTCATATACATGGGAAAGTCGAAGGTCTCCTTTGAACTCGTTGTTTGTCCATAGCCCCTGTTTTGATGCGCAATCTTCCGGCAAGATCGTACCCTTGGCAGCTAGCGCGTCTTCCCAGAAATATTAAATCGAGCAGCTTAGACTGAACTGAGACAGATTCTCGAGTGGTATCTGCATCCTCCCTATATCAAGAGTGTGTCTGTCCAGTTCATATTCCAAAGGCACTGTAAAAAGAACGACTATAGCTTGACGAATCAAGTCTGCCGTCTTCCTATCGGTCCTCTTGCACAACTCGGTATAAGTTGGTTGCGTAATAACGACCGTCCGTGGCCATCGGCATTCATATGGGAACGTCTTATGATCTGCTCGACAAGTTCGGTATGTAATCCGGAGTTTAAAACCTGCTTTATTGGCCCGAATAATGTGCTCGGTGAAGGGCCAAGCGGTCACGGTCTGAGCTAGACACCATTGCTAAGTGCAATGTCCCGATATGCCTATGGCCATTCGAAGTGCACCCAACTTGTCGATATCGATAGTCACCCTCAGACTCAGGTCTGTCAATGACTTCCATGTAAGACCCTCCGGTAACCGAACGGTTTCCATGTTGATCTGAAGATTTCGAAGCCCAGTGAAGAGGGGCAAGGACAGACACGGCGGTTCATTGGCGATAAGCCGAATTCCTTGGAGAGCCGGCAGAATTGGACTATCTCGAGAGTCCATACCCGTGAGTGCCGTTGTGAAGCGTCGTCTATGGACCTGGTGAACGACAGCGATCGTCGGTCGTACGGTTAACTGCCGCAGGCTTCGATCGGGACGAATCAAATCCAACAGACCACCATCTGTGCGCTGAAATGCTCCGGGTTTTCTCTGAGACGGACAACTCTACAAAATAAGAAATTTGTAGCGACCCGATACCGCCGTAGACAGACACGATGGAATGCCTTGAGAGTTTCAAAGTCAACTGTTTGGAATATTCCAGAGATGATTTCCTGTATTCGTCAGCAACACCGTCGGAATTCTGGTGGCTTTCCTCGTTCCAGCCTCAGGAAAGTTCTCCATTGGGCCTATCTCCAACGGAAACGGAATGGCCGCTAGGAAGGGCACTACTGCAGCAGAAGGAAAGAAAGGGACGTCTGTTTCCAGTCCAACGGAGATACTTTGCCGTCAAAAACATGCCTCTGGGTTTTGTGAGGGGTGGTACAGGAAAGGTGGGATGACGTGCAACGATAGCTTGGATTCTTGGCAGAAAGTCACATGTCTCGGAAAGACAAATCGGAGCACGTGTCCAACTAGTTATCAAACCTCAGATCAAATAGCTCGCTAAGGGTTATTCTCGAGGTCTTATTGCTGGTTTCCTCTTGTTGTAAATTGAGTCTCGACCAAGTAAACATAGAGCGTCGTATACGGAATTTATTCCGGGTACAAGCAAATTGATTTCCAATCAATCTGATATCTATCTTGTATATATAAGCCCTCAGTTTCTCAGACGTGAATAAGAACAGCAAACCACTGAACTACAACACCTCTGACTTCTGATTCTGCTGGCCAGACGCATGTCCCACGTTTGGTCCCAGTCTTCGTGCCTCGGCCAATAAACCTGATTGATCTGGACACCCTGGACACCACGTCTACACGTCCGATCAAGTTTTCCGGCCATCGACGCTGGGTTACTTTTGTCTAGATGCACACTGGACCGTAGAGTAGACCCGGATTGGAACCTCTCTTGACCCTGAAGCTTTTGGCGAAATACAAGGAACAGAAGATGCATGTGGGCGCTAGTTGCCGGTCCTTTGCGTCTGCTGGTCGTACGACCTCAAATTGCCGACAGAGTAGTCCGATAGCACACGGTATAGCCTGCAATATGCAGCATACTATAGAGCCTTCTGTGGCCCCTCGCATTCGTAAGATGTGCGAACCATGAACCTCTCGTCCACGCGCGATGACGGGAGTCCTCAGCTTACTAGCGCCTCCCTGTTCGCTGCTTCGTCTTCGGTGGGATTAGCAGGAGTACATTAGCAGTATCAGCCGTTGCTACCTTGAGTCTGAACGAGATGCTAATTATTCGCATCTTCATATTGTGCACAATGGTATCTTCTGTCTATTGCTCTGTACAGTTCTGATTGGCGTCGACGGTTGGGATGGGTTCGACATCTGCCAAGTTAAGACCCACTATTGGTCGTTCCCGTAAGGGTAAGAAAGGAATGCTTACCTTTCTGTCTTTGGGCGCTGTTCAGCCTCTGCTTCTAGCCCGCCGGGGATTGCGCGCCAGCTTTCTGAACTGCTCTGGAAGCTCTTATCGAGAAGGAGTCCTGGAGCAGTGCGACATGTGTCGAAGCATCAGGTATGTTTTGTAGCAGTGACGGCGTCATCGACAACGAAGACTTTGGCCTTGGCTATCTTGTATACGTGCTGGAAAGTATAGATGCTGTGTTGGACTGAGCTATGATGAGTGAGCACTCTTAGCTCCGATTGCCACTCAGAAGCTAGTGAACCATTTGTCCCGGGAGACAGGTGGAGCCAAATCCTCCCACGCTTAAAATGAATATAGGGCTATCCCAATTACTTCGACCAGTTCTTGGGCCAAGAATTTGCAATTGCCAATCTGCAATAAGTATTGCAGATGCGGTATAATTACTAAAGAAATACAACTGTTTTTGGGGACCTCTGATCACAGTTCCACCCCCCATATTCATTATTAGTCTCCCCTTCCAAAGCATATAGATGGCTAGCCGCTAGAAATATCAAACAGCTCAGGCAAAATCCTCAATCTCTCGAGCTGCAAGTATGTTTGCGCAGCTGATCAGCTCTCTGAAATTTCTTCCCTCACGAATATACGCCTGTGTCGCACCAATAATCCGGGCTTTCTTCCGAGCTTCTTCGAGACCTACGTTCTCCAAGCCTCTGTCCACATCAAAACGGTAGTAGCGTCTGCTCTCAACAAGATCATGCAGATGGTCATTGTAGAATTGGTTTGCAGTATTCACTGTATCGGTTGCAATGACCATAAGTCGTTCAGCAATATCATGTAAGCCTGGCCCAAAGTCTCCCAATGTAGATCTGCTAGTGCTAATTGATACCAAACATCGAATCTTTGGCTCTAAGGGCGGATGCTATATATCCCCAGCCTCTGTCCAAAGCTGCCGGATAGGATTATTTAATCTAAGAGCAGTATTAATGAAGCTGTCCTCATACTGAGCTCCAGGTGCGCCAACTCCGATAGAAGGAGGATCAAAAAATGATGATACTGCTGAGGTTGCACGGCATGCTTCTCATATAGTTAACTGCCGAAAAATATCCCTTTCGCCTCGCGGGGAAGGATAGCTTGTAAATAAGACTAAGATATTAAATTTTTTTCCATAGAGCAGAGACAAAACTATTTACTATCCTTAGATTCTTTTCTGATGGTAGAGAATGGTGTACTTACACCTTGCATGCCCCTGGGGAGTCATCTTTCAGAAGGGCATTCTCTTTATAACCTGCATTTTTAATGATTTTCTTAATTACTCTTTTAAGTTTATTATGATCAAAGCGGCCTTGGAGCTGGCCCCTCCAATTAACACGGTGATGCATCTGTGTGAAGGCTCTGTCTGAAAGTCGTATATAGGCTAAGTAATATATAGAATAGTCCAGAAACAATAGTTCAACGTCGGTTTGTTAAAGTATTTATAATTTTAGGGTACTTATATTACCTCTGGGTCTTATTATATATAAGCCTTATTTATATAAGCTTAACGGTTCTAAACTCTATATTTAAACCTTGTGTATTCCATGGGGCAAACTCAGTCTAGGCCCAGAGAGCCCTGTTATTGTACTATAGATTGAGATTTTAGCACCCTGTTGAAGCTGTTAATCCTCTGTAAATGGATGATGTTCTTCTGATGAAATAGTTTATGTGGCCGGTAACACGATCGCAGTGGCAAAATGACTCTCATCTATAGCGCCCCATCACTGCTTTACAGTCAACTAAGAAATGGGCCCAATCCTTCAGTGGCAAGCGAATTTTTCCATTCGCATTTTGTAATCCACGCTAATTAGTGCGGATTGCAGAATATAACCAGAATGAACGAAGGTCTCATGTCTGATTTAGTTGCTCCTTGATACTAGCATAGACAGAAACGAATCGAGAAATCGGACATGGTACTATCATCTGAGCCAATTGAAGCGATTGAGCGAGTTGGACAACGATAACGTTCCGGTGATCTCATTCGTGAAACTCAAAGTCCTAGAGAGTTTGAACTCCACCACAAGGGGAAGGGAAGTTTGTCTGGGCTAGCTGATAGTCATTTTGCCACTGCGATCGTGTTACCGGCCACATGAACTATTTCATCAGAAGAACATCATCCATTTACAGAGGGTTGGCAGCTTCAACAGGGTGCTAAAATCTCAATCTATAGTACAATAATAGGGCTCTCTGGGCCTAGACTGAGTTTGCCCCATGGAATACACAAGGTTTAAATATAGAGTTTAGAACCGTTAAGCTTATATAAATAAGGCTTATGTATAATAGGACCCAGAGGTAATATAAGTACCCTAGGATTGTAAATGCTTCAACAAACTGATGTTGAACTATTGTTTCTGGACTATTCTATATATTACTTAGCCTATATTTATGCTTAGGGCCGATGGCAGCTCATATAACCACTGGGATAGGATTATCTGCTGCCCAGCAGTTAGATACAGGACAGCCTACTGGGGAAGGGCTATGTCTTCTCTCAATTGGTGAAAATGTCAGAGTTACTGATCCAAGAGCCTACTTAATCTTTTATAGATGGTGGAGGTGTGAAGGGCCTTTCTGCTTTATATTTAATTGATTAACTCATGGCAACTATAAATGATGAGGCTCAAAATGACCCGCTACTTAAGCCTTGTGATTATTTTGATATGATAGGTGGTACAAGCACTGGAGGGTATGTATGTTAATCTAATTATATTCTTTGCTGTTAACAGCATTACAGGATTATAGCTGTTATGCTAGGCCGACTAAGGATGGATGTTGAGCAGTGCATTGATGTCTATATATGACTTTCAGACAGAGCCTTCACACAGGTGCATCACCGTGTTAATTGGAGGGGCCAGCTCCAAGGCCGCTTTGATTATAATGAACTTGAAAGGGTGATTAAGGAGGTCATTAAAAATGCAGATTATGAAGAGAATGCTCTGATGTGCTGACTGTAAAGGCAAATCTCGCCATTGCCACAGCGATGATGGGGAGAATTGAAGAGGCAGAGAGAATGGAAAAGGAGGTTTTGGAAGTCAGACGGAAAATAGCCGGCGATGATAGCCCCGATGTACTGACTGCGAAGGAAAACCTCGCCACTACCACAGGAAGGCTGGGAAGAGTTGAAGAAGCAGAGAGAATGGAAAAGGAGGTTTTGGAACTTAGAAGATGGCGGGAGACAACAGCCCCGATGTGCTGACTACAAAGGCAATTCTTGCCATTACCAGGGTAAACCTGGGCAGAGTTGAAGAAGCAGAGACGATGGAGAAGGAGATTCTGGAGATTAGACGGAAGATGGCAGGAGAGAACAGCCCCGATTTACTAACTGCCAAGGCAAACCTTGAGATTACGAGGAAGATTCTACGGAAGCGGAGGAGATGGACGTTCCCATTTTTGAGACAGCCAAAGCATAATCGCAGACGCCATATCATCGTTATTAGCTAACCGCTGCATATTATGCGCGCTAGGAGGACACAGACCACGCTGGCCTGTGCCATAATTGGAGGCCGGGACTAGAACGGACGTGATCCTGAATGATGGCGAAATAGCCGGAATGTATTCCTCACCTACCTGATAACGTCAGATACCGTACAAGAAGGAATTGGGTTCCTCGGCTGACATCCGGTGACAAGTGCGGTAGCATCGTATGTCGATTCGCTCTGAGACCGGGCGCTTGGAATAGGCTGATCGCGTACACGTCTTCAAAGATGCCCATATTAGTGCTAACGTCGTGAATGGTCCGGATTGTGCCGCCGACAAGAACTCGGCTGACGTTATCCAGCGAGCTTCAGCTTCAGGTAAAACATTCTCGGTTATGTGCGAACCGGATACCTTGGCGTATGCGGCAATGCAACTGAGCTGATCTGTTTAAAGCTCGGATTCTTCATAGCTAGCTCTGTTATCATCGATGCGTCTTTGGGTATTCGTAGCTGACTGAGAGTCCTCCGTATTTTCCTGCTTGCGCTTTCCAGTTCTGGCGTCGAAAGAACGGACGTACTCCCAAAGATCAGCCATAGGTGACTGAGTGTGCTCCGCCTCTGTAAATACAAGAACCAAGGGCAGACCGTTGATATCCCTGGCGTTGATTCGACCGCGGAAGGTAGCAAAATAGTGATTGTTCTCGAATTGATCAATGAAATTTCCTTCCAAGATGCTGATCGGGCTCCGGTACCCTTAAGCGGAAATTTGCAATACTGATGATTCTTGGAGAAGTAGAATACTATTAACTCTTTGTTACGGGATGCTTCCCAGGCGTTCAAAACTTCTTCGGCTTCTCGGCTGTGAGAGATCGCTTTCTGCGTCAGGATCGCGTTGCGAATGTTCATTTCTGCCTTGAGTTCCAGGAGGATGGGGATCGTACGGAGCTGGTAATAAGACCAGGTCACTCTCACTCTGACGAGTTTGCCGGTTAGTTCCTACGCTCCGCCATATAGGATGTGACTGAGAAGGTAGTATTCCTTGGCCGAAGAAGCTGAACATGATTTCTTGCAGCGCGGCGATCAATGTAGGTTACTTTTTTTGAAGCTGTTCCGCACTATAGACCTAGAGAGCAAATAGGAGCCGGCAGTTGTTGCGGAAAAGATGTTTGCTCAAAGGAGATTATCGTATGGATTTGAGGAAGCCATTTGGAGAATTTGGTAGGAACAGGAGGTGAGAGATGGAATGTGTAATCCAGAATGGAGTGTCTGATACTTTACCCCCATGCCAAGCGCAGTGTTGCCAGGACCACAAGCAGCGCAATTACACAAGACCTGTGTCGACGCCTCGAAGCTGGGAAATATGCGAGAATCAAATAAGAAATAACCACTACAGGGCTTATACCCCTGAATGGCGAGCAAGAAAACCTCAGCTAGGGAGCTGGAACTAAGAAAGCTTCAACAAACCTTAATTGAGCGTGCCGGTCACCGTGGCCTAGGAACTCATTAGACTCAGATCCGCGAAACAAAGAAGAATTACCCACTCGACGCGATAACCATCTGATTCGTCCATGGCATTGCCTCGTATGTAACTTGATGTGGAGCTAGGAATCACTCTGGGCGCAGGTGAATTTTTCTCTTGTCGAGGGTGTCTCTCTTCTGCCTATTTCGACAATACAACCTGCACCAACCCAGTAGCCCAGACAAAGAACGGAAGTTATTATGGTGTCTACACGCCTCAGTATGAGGAGGATTATTTTTTCTTGGAATTCCATTTACCAAGCCCTGGGCCAACCGCGAGAGTCTTAATGGGTCCTGATCGGGACTGTGCGTGCTACCGGCTATGCAATGGTGAGAACCTGGATTGACTGTTTTACGAGACTAGACCCTTACTTATGGCATGAGGAAAAGGAGTGTATAGGTTAAGGCAGCGATCAAAAGGGCTATCTTGAGGTCGGGCTCGATGTATTCTTCTTTACGCTGTTCTCTCCTGGCCAGCAAAATAGAGCGAGGATTGTCTCTACCTAAACGTGGTCCGTCCCACTGGATACGACGATCCAAGCCTTCCTGTCCTCGTGTAGATTCATAGTATGTAGTGCCACCTATCTGAACGACAAAGTTACTCCCGACGCTCAATGAATGAAAACGTGGTGGCTTCGCGCAAGGTAGCACTCCCAACCTCCGATACAACATTACATTCATTCTTGAACACTCAGTCAATATCGGCCAGCCATTTATCGCAGTGAGCATTGCCTATCGTCTCGGTCCTTGGAGATTCTTCAATGGGGTCGAGTTCGCCCATGTGGGATCGTTGAATCTGGGGCTCAAAGACCAGCGCCTGGCCCTGCACTGGGTAAAAGAGAACATCGCAGGTTTCGGTGGTGGGTTCCCGCAATCCTAACAATGAATAAAGTCTAGCTTACTAACATGAGTATCCATGTCCAGGTGATCCAAATACAGTTGTGAATCACGGGCGGAGTGCCGGTTCCGAGAGCGTAGGATACCAAGTCCGCGCGTACAACGGCCGAGATGACGGGCTCTTCCGCGGGGGCATGATGGAGTCCGGCGCGGTGCTACCTGGAAGTGCATTGAGATTGACTTCGGCATATGAGCCATGGTTTCAAAGGATAGCAGGCGAGGCAGGATGTTTCCAGGCCATTTGCAAACTGGACTGCCTACGCCGCATGCCCTTTACAGTCTTAAACAACATCCTGAGCACGACTGCCAACGACTGCCAACGACACAACGCCTTACAACTGGAGGCCCACAGTCGACGGTGACTTCGTTGCGCAGTATCCCAGCGAGCAACTCGACGCAGGAGATTTCGTCAAGGTACCAAAAATGATCGGCTACACTACGTACGAAGGAACGACAGAGTTTCCGGGACCAGTGAACACCACCGCCGAACTAAAAGAATACCTCAGCTGTACGTACCGTACCCCGTTCCATCCTAGCCCCCAATCCCCCTCCCATCACTAACAACAACCCAGCAACAACAACCCACGGGTGGGCCCTCGACGAGCGCGTCGTATCCGAGCTCCTCAAACTCTACCCCAACAACACCTCCTTGGGGATCCCATCATCCGAAGAACTCGGCGGCAACGTCACCTTCCCACAGACCTACGGTTAGGGTTTACGCTAGATAGCAGCATACCACGGCGACGCCCAATTCATAGCCGCGACCCGCTACACCTGCGAGCTATGGGCAGCACATAATCTGACTGCATACTGCTACCGATTCAACACTACTATTGGAACGACGATGATCAACTACGTCTTATGGTAAATTTACAATCTGATGGACAGATATTCGTGAGACACAATCGATCATACCTCTATTATGGCATATACTCTGACTTACAATCACAATGGGAGGTCGAATGTGTTGACTTATCTACAAAAGAACATCTGACGGAAGCACCAGTTACGTTAAGGAAGTTTTCCGGCTGTGAAATGGGGCAGACGGTCTGTTTCGAGATTCACGAGTCTCATCTCTATGGAGTTTCGTATTCCGCCGACGAAGTTCGGGACGTTGAAGTCCCCCAGAACTCATACTACTCTTGGATATGTCTTCCACCCGGAGAAGACGGCTTTCGAAGGGCAGTCGACTGCAGTTTTTGGCGACGACAGAACTGCGAGGGCCCCATTGACGATTCATGGTTAGACCTTTCGCTTCGGTGCGATGTGGCAACCAATCGCTTAACAACCTTGGAATGCCGTCGAGAGTGGCTTAACGGAGGAAGTGACGGCAATCGTACCTATTACATGCAGCAACTTCCACTACCCTCGAAAATTCCGCAAAGTACTCGACAAGGTTTCCTCCTACATTCCCGTCTGTATAAGTGGGGCTGCTGAATGGGCGCCTGGGCGGTCGTTGCTGCGACTGACATGGTCTGTCTCATCGCCATCAGAACATGCCTCAACTGCTTCTCTGACCACCACAACCTGTATCTCTGTATCCGAGTGAATCGAGCAATTCGCGGGTATGTAGGGCCTATTTTAACATAGCCTTTCTATACAGAGATCACAGAGCTATTCTCGATTGCTAGCGCATTCATGAGCCTACGCGGTGGCTTTATGACTGTCTTCGTGAAACACCAATGTGCCCACGTCCCGCGCAGGCTGATAGCGTTGAACAATTGCGTAAAAAGCTCCTACCCATCGACAAAAGGATGAAGGCCTTTCTTTTGGTGGAGCTAGCTTTCCGCTTTACGTACCAAAGCAGGGGTCGTATCACGATTGAGGCGGCGGCTGACCCCCTGCGAACCCGAACGATCAAGGCGTGTCAGAGACGCTAATTTTTCACGTCTCACAGGGGGGACGCAGTCACTAGGCAGCTCTTGCTTCCCCACCGTTCCAGGACGATGCAACGCTCGCACTCTCTGCGTCATGAATGTAACCGGATCATTCTACGCTCTTGTCCCGCGCGAATTATAGCGTACTACCAAGACCGACAGGCCGACGTCCCTCTTCATTCCAGCAATGATCAGCCCTGTGCGGCCGTGGTAGCGGACCACAGCCATTACATCCCCGATAGCTTTCAACGCGAGACAAAGAGCTTTCAGGTGACAGGGTTACGGAACTTGACTGGCTCTGCCGTCAAGGTAAGCCAAAGTCTTGCCTCTAGCGAGAAAGCTATTGAGGCACCAGACGGCGAGCATTTTATGGAGATGATCATTGGCTATCTTCGATCACATCCGGACGATCCTTCCACAAAGAAGAATGTCGTAGATTGCGATGGCAAAGCAGCCTGTGACACGATTCAGGGACTGCTCCAGCGACAACAAATGGAGATCTAGACCACCGGGTTCATTTGTTAAAGTTTGGTCTACTGTGACGGGTATAAGTCTAGGACGCACGATAGCTTTCGCTCGATTGCGATCGCATGGAAACGCGTTGGGGTTCGGTGCGGTCCCAGTGCTATGGTAGCGAATTCCAAATTATCGCGCCGTAGTCCCAACACGCGTGTCCTTTTGGGGCGGCAAGGCTCCGGCGGCATTCGAAAGATCACTCCGCGATCACCCGAAGTACTCATTTTCTGGTTCGCTCCTGTTGCTTGTTCCCTAGTCTTTGCCCTCGCGAATGGGCAGTTGTTGCGCCAAGCTTCCCTGTAGTACTAACTGTTAGTTGTGGTCTTCTACATACTCTTCTAACTCAATAAGCCCTGACAGGAAACGCGTCTGGGGCTCTAAAGGCCGGGAAATGCTTATCGATAATTGGTTACCAATCTCGCGGGACAGTCTATAAACCTTGATTATCTGGACCAATCACGCTAGAGGGAGGGGTGTGCCCGGAAGATCCGGCCTCCCATGCGGTTCCGGTGATTTACGGTGACTATCGATCGGACGGGCTATTCTGGGATCACGAATATGGGGCATGCTTTCTCCGAGAGCCCTACCTTGAGGGCGAATGACTCATGGCTTTCGAAGCCCACTTAGTCCAGGCTGGAACCTATTCCGCCATACTTGCCCAGAATGGAGGATCAGCTAGGCAAGGGTACCTTGCACTGGGAATCGCTGTGGATGGCCCAAATTAGTGGATACTGGAGATTAACAAGTCGTGTAGCCGCTGTTCGGCATGTCTCAGTTGGGCCATCGAAGACGCCCAATATAACCTTGTTGCCTAATTCGGCTGCTTACGAATGGCGATCTCATTTCTCGCAGTGGCTCCACTCACACGTCGCTCTGGTTATTGCTGAACATACTGATAGAGATTCAGTCTGTTCCGATCCGGAACCCTACTCCGTACTTCGCCTGTAGCTAGTACGTCTCTAGGTCGCAGGGGTCCCTGGGTGAGTGTAGGTCATGTCCCACCAGCTGCGATCTGGGGGAAATCCGCTATTGATCCAGGACGACCATGCCATAGCTGTAGTGTCGGTGGCCAAGTTAGAGTGGAAGACCTCTAATTCATGCCTGTCTTCTATAAAGACCCGGGACTGCCATCGGGGTCCATCCCAATATCAAATTGCGCTCGTTTACCACCTCAGATTTTAGTTACTGGCTTTGGAATGACCATCCTGCCATTCGAGGAAGGTTCTACCCACTCCGCCTTGTGGAAGCATGTTAGAATCTTCTGCAGCCACAACTAAACGAAATGAAATCGGGACCGAGGCGTCCGTGTTTCTCCAAGCCACACCAGGAGGCCCGATGTCCGAACCACCACCGCCATATTTCCAGTCATGGTTCATGCATGGTACCAGTTGTGAGGATCTCAGACAGCACCTCCCATGCATCTCCGGTGGTCTTCCCCAAGGTTCTGGGAAGCACGCTGTGGTAGGCGCGCACACCCATTTTCGAACTAGAAGCTGCAAAAAGTATCACACTCTGACGGTCCTAGAGCTTCGATCAGCCTGTCCCTATGCTAGAGTTTGCGGCCGATAACCCATACCATTTGGTCCCACAGCCGGTGAGAAACGTTCCCACGCCGCCTCAGCTGGAAACCAGGTGTACTTGCTGGCCTTCTGCTAGTCTTAATAGATCCATGACAGCACCCAAGCCCATGAGGACAAGCTAATCCCGAAAGAAGACAATGACGCAAATCACACGAAGTCGGAAGCTCTGTGCCGGAAGTCAAGTTGCTTCCAAGCCCAGACAAGGAATGGCCAAGCCAAGTATGCAGCGACAAGGAGTCAAAATCTATGCCTACCATGTCCCTTGAGTGAACTGACCACGGGTATGCTGCACATCCCGGTTAGAAATATGTACGCCTTCAGAGAACGATTCAAGCTGTGTCAAGGGCCACTGATGGCCAGAGAAATCGTCCAAGGTCACCTGAGCAATCGTCGTGGCAAGCTAGCCGCCGGTGGTAGGTTTGATTACCTCCGATTGATCTACCTGTGAGCCTACAATGTACGTGAGAGGAAGGATGTCGAACATGCACTCCAAGACTAATGATTGTCTACAGTGCCATAGTTACGCCCGCCAGTCACCTCGCCAAGAAGGCCGGGATGTAGTTCAGCGACAGACGGGGCAGACATCAAAATGTGCGACTTTGACCTCGACGCTTGTCACATGTAGGACGCCTTTTGTCGCGACAACAACGCTTCCACTAACACCTCACAAAGTGATTACCAAGAGAGGATTGCCCCTCGCATTATGGAAGGTGACCCTCAATGGTAATATGAGACACCTGTTATTACGCGCAACCGATCTCATGTGTGGCAGTGGCACTCATCGTTACGGCTCCACTTCTCTATCTAGCCCGATGTCTGGGCGCTCAACTTAGACAGTCACGGGTCTTGGGGTCTCAGGGCCATTTGTTGATGGATAATTAATCGGTTGCCGGTACGGCCACGCGGCTTGATAGTACAGGCATGCCAGGCACAATCCGGTGCGCCGTCGCAACAGATAACCCGGCTGGATAACCTGCGGGGTCCTGCGAATGCTGACCATGGCAGGTCAAACAACGACGACTGCCACAGAGCTCACATCTTGACTACTTGACACCGCTCTGTTCTGGTAAGCCGTTGCGTGTCACATTGCACGAGCAATCGTTCGCGTGCGATGAGCGGCTTTGGAGCATGCGATGGCGCATGCACAAAGAACACCCGACCGGAGCTCTGTCGGGCCACTGTCCGTGCGTGCCCTACTGGGGTCGAATTGCCGACCAGACGGCCATACGGCCAGTTCATATTGCACTCTCATTTTCTAGGGTTCATCGCCTGGCGACTGTGCCTTCGAAGGTATCGAGCAAGAACAGAGGCTTGAGGTCAGTTTTGCGAATACCGTGCCGTCTACTAGCCTCATCAACGTCATGTTTTCGGCAGGTCGCCCATCTGAAGTTTGCCTGTCACGGGTAGATGGGTAGTTGGAGATAACCGCTGCATAAACTCTGCTTACGGTAGTTTCCCAGCTGGTCTTTCATACCCCTTCGTTTTGCCCGGCTAATTGCCCAGGGGATTGGCATGGCTTGACTCACGTTCCACCACACTTGGCCCGCAGTCCTAACCCAACGTTTCAAGGGACAAAGGAAGAAATTCATACTGCCCTCGGAGGCTGATTGTTCCAGCGCGACAGTTCAAGACACTATAAATGGCATGTGGACGACAGGCAATTCTCCCAACTATCCAACTTTCTCTCGATGCCGAGTTCAGGGCCTTCTCATGCGAGAACTGTCTACAGGTGCGATATAAATCATACAAGAGCGTATTTTTAGGTTCCGAACCCACCAAGTCTACATCTACTTATTTGGAGGCCCTACGGGCGCAGATGCAGAAGGCGCGCTGTCAGTGAAAGGATTTCATCATCACATCCACACACCACTCCTGAAGGAGCGGAATAGTTGCCTGACATGGAGACGACCAACCTACAGCGCAGCGACGAAAAACTACCCTACGTACATGAGACCGTGGCCGTTGACTGCTACCTGTCTTCTTCTTATGAGGATCCCGAATTCCTGACCTGGAATGGGCCCAGCATCCTATCTCCGTGTACGCACCCCGAGGATGTCTTTCGGTATGCCTCTGCCATGCTGTCCTACCCCGTCAATTGGTTAGAAATGCATATTAAGGTCGTCCACAAGTACACGTTCGAATCGGTCAATGCACTCTCGGCAACCTCAGACGTCTCAGCAATCAGATCTGGGAGGTAATCCGTCCATACATGCGGACTATCGATCATGCAGATTATCGGTTTCAAGTATTCGTGTGGCCAAGGGGCGAGCGGGAGCCGGATAACACAGGAAGATTAGGAGTGTTTCCAGGGCCAAACCCTATCTATCCCGGAAGAATCCTGGATCCAGAGCGTTTTGTTGAAAACATCTCTTGCGGCTTCTAGTATGGAGAGCATACTGGGTTCTTCTTTAGCATGCGATCAGAGGTTCAAGGACCGAATTTAGAAAGCCCATATTGCTTTATGGGCTCATTGTTTTCTTGCTCTAAGGCACCTCTTTCGTTTCCCTAGACGAAATCACCCATCTTCCCCCCTTCCGACAACTCGAGTCAGGGAATCAGGCCCCAATTTTTCTGGGCTACAGGCGGGCAAAATAGACCGACTGCAACATAGTTTGACCAGCCTCTGGTCGGTCACTGTTGAGTGCCACAAGGGTCGGCGAGGTTACACTCAGGCCTAGTCCATCCATGCCAAGAACCATGGGCTTGATGCTACCTTCAGCTTGGAGCTTGCGTTGGGTGGACCCCTTCCGAAGAGCTGGCGCGTGGAGACAACTCCGGTCGCTTCCAGGCCCACTCCTGTTTGGTGTTCGCCGACAACAGCTAGGTGCAATACTGGGGCGAGGTTCCCCAGACATCCAGTGCGACGGTCTTTGACCAAGCCGAGGAGAGCATCAAGTACCTCGTCCTCACCAACACGTAGCCTAAATTTGTTCGAAGCTGCTGCATCGAAGCTAAGGTTAATGTTCTAGTAGAGAGCCGGGCCCCTGCATAGCTAGGTCCGGAACGAGGTCGCCAGCGTTGGAAGATAGGATTGGGCATGATATCTGCCTGAGATGTTGACTGAACAACTATAGATTGATATGGTGGAACACCTCATCAGATCAGACATCCTATCGGAACGTAGTACTGTCTTGGCAGGGGAGACAAGACTAGGTCGAAGATCATCCAGTTCGAAGCCCAGCTATATTGTAGGGGCGTCAAACAGATCGGAATCTTCCACAAAGAGCACAAGAGAATTGTTGGGCTACTTGACCATTACCCCTCAATAATGTAGGTAAGACAAAAGAGTGAAATACTGTATATATGAGCATTGTATGGGACGGTCTTGCCCGCCATTCATCAGCACCCAGAACCACCGTATTCCATCCAAAGTATCTTCCCAGGTCTGTATTCCACAGAACTTTCCCTTCGAAAACAGCAGGTAACCTTCATACAGGCCGGATGGGTTATGAAGTAAAAGGACTACCGACAGAGTCACTGACGCCGAAATTACTGACTCTGCCACCGCTTTCGAGTCTGCCGTACCCCACTCAACACCGCATTCTACGGGTACTGCAACAGCGCTTGGAGAGCTCTGCGTTCGAGTCTATCCAGAAATGGCACCCCCAACTTGCCAGGCTAACGGATGGGATTGTGCCGAGAAGGTAGAATTGTACTGTATTGTGTGTACTAAGTGTCTTACTAGATATGGCTATTTATAGTAGTATATTAGATATATAGCCGGCTAAGAGAGTTATAATATAAAATATATTCTTAATATAATAGCTTTTTACTATCATGATTGTATTTCCTGCATCCAGTCATTGATTTCAGTGATAAACCGGTGTGCAGTATCTGGTTTTATACCTTAGTTGATGAAAAAGCCAGGATCTTAATTTTAATAAATCTGCTATAAATTTATATAGTTATTTAAGGTTATATCATATATTTTTATAATATTATTCTTGAAACTTTCAGTATTTACTTATAAGAATTACTATATAATGTAGTTCTTTACTGCTACTTTCAATAGATTAGAGATATTGATAGTGTCGGCTGGCCGGAGTGGCACTAAGCCTAAAAGGGAAGGCGGTCTAGTACCACTAGGCCAAAATCAGGGGTATGATCTTCCCTAAGCGGAAATAAGTGGGTCTGGTCAGGTAAAATATCTGGTCAGGTGACACTAGTCCTAATTAGGAAACTAGATATCAAAATAATGAAGATAAATACAATTGACAAACTACTGAACTGGATTCCTGCGGTAATCGAGCCACTTTCCCTTTCCGCTTTAGGCTGACTTTGGCGCCGCTTTTTGCTCACTGAGCGGCCTGGAGCGTGGTGTGAGCACAGGAGTGCGTGGCGCGAGTGATCGGTGAGCGATCCCGGATTCTTCCGGGAGTAAGATCGGAAGAAGCTGGCGGTCCCCCCGAGCGATCACGTGATATATTACGTGATGCTCATGTGACCCAAATAAACTGCACACGACTTAATACATCGCAATGTACGGTGCCAGCCCGACTGTCAATTACTTTGAACTGTACCGGGTCTGGATCGACCCTAGGGGGATGAAGTGTATGGACATTTGCGCCATTCTTGCAACCAGCTGTACCGTACAGAGAGCTTCGAACGGATTGTTGCGCCTGATTCTTGAACGTGGGGAGGAAAAATGTCGGGACGGGCCGAGACGCGAACCCCTGAACCGCCCGACCGCGACGAACGCGAAAACTCGCCACCGCGATTGGTGAGGCCGAAACGCACGACAAGACCACCAGCCCACTATGCTCAAGAGCAAGAGATCGATACTGAGCAGAGAAACACGCGCTCCCAGCGAAAGAAAAAGAATCAGGGCAAGCCAGTCGCCCAACGTGACGCGGCGACTTCGGACGACTCCTCGGCAGAGAGCGAGGACTCAGACACCTCCAAACTGGTGAAAGAGATTGTTAAGCTCAGGAGAGAAATCAGACGACGAGATGAATTACACAAGGAGGAGCTCCACAGAGTCAAAGAAGAGTTTGGCGCTGCCCTCGCAGAGTTTCGACATGAATTACAGACCCTGGCGAATCGACCCTCGACACCGCAACCCCACCCCGAGCCATGCGCTCAGAACAGCCACGAGGAGATCCTTCGCGAAATCCAATCCTTGCGCATTGCAGTCAATCCTTCGGGATCCCCGTCCTATGCAGATGTCGCCCGTACTCCCCCCACCAGCCAACCGAGCAATATACGGACTCTCTCATCGTGGAACACGACACCGACTACCTTCACCGACACGCTATATTGCACGATAGACACCTCGAAGATGGCAGATACTGAAAATGAGAGACCATCAGCAGGCCCAATCAGAACGGCAGTTGAGACCGAGATCCGGACAATGGAAAATCACACGAACTGGCGGTGCCGCGCTGTCACGGTGGACCCGAAGAACACCAGCCGGATCAGGATTGCGTGCCGAGATGAGGCTGAACACCAGCTGGTTAAGAAGGCGGCGGAAACCAAGGTCGGCGCAGGAGCCCGAGTGCTTCGTGACGAACTGTACCCGATCAAAGTCGACAGCGTCAACAGAACTGCAGTGCTTGATGAAAACGGGGACATCCGAGCAGGAGCTGCGGCAGCCTTTGGCGAAGAGAATGAAGCTTCCATCGCTAAGATTGCATGGCTCAGCAGAAAGGAGAATGCGAAGGCCTATGGGTTAATGGTCGTTTATCTGACCAAAGGCAGTGATGCACGGAGGCTCCTGGCCGACGGGTTCTTTCACGCTGGGGGAGAATCCGGCGTGACCAGCACCTTTGAATACCGACCCCGACCGATGCAATGCTACAATTGCCAAGAGATTGGACATAAGGCGTTCCAGTGCAAGAACGCGCAGAAATGTGCAAAATGTGCCGCGGAGGGCCATCACCACAGTAGCTGCGATCCAACGATTCCAAAGTGCATTCCATGCGGAGGCCCTCACGAATCGTACAGCAAAAACTGTCGGAAGCTCTACCCATCGCATCATGAATAAGACTCTTAGAGTTATTCAACTGAATGTGAGGAAACAGGGTGCAGTACACGAGAGCTTAATGAATGACGAAGAGACTCAAAACGCGGTAGCATTAGCAATTCAGGAACCCCAAGCGCGGAGGATTCAAGGCCGGCTCTTGACCACCCCGATGGGACACCACAAATGGACAAAGATGGTTCCCTCCACCTGGAGGGAAGGCAGGTGGGC